ATCAAACTATATTAAATTTTTTATCAAATGATAAAAAAATCCTGTAAGACCCACATTGGAAAGCCAACTTCACGATGATTCAATTTTTTAAAGTTTTGAGTGGTCATATCTTTTACTCCTCCTATCTCATGTGCTGTCATGCTTCCAAGGATTCTACCAACGTACGTAGAAATCTACACTCCCAATCTGGTGATAGTGGCCTTCTCTTTTTTTAACCATGCATGGGAAAGCGTATTTTAAGTTTGTGTGTGTGTAGAATAAGCAAAAACACCTTGGATTCATTAAAGTTGTCTTGCTGAAAAGAAAAGAAAAAGAAAAAAAGAAAGAAAAAGGTCATGAAAACAAAGGAAACAAAACAAGTTTACAAAATACAAAATCCAGGTAAGAGAAGTTAAAGCATAATTGAATGATTGAATATAAAAAGGGGTGTTCTCCTTCACTCACTTTCACAGTTCACTCAGTATTTCTTTATTTCCATTAATGCTGCCAAGAAAAACTCTGGCACTATTTGTGACTTGATACAATACATGTAACCAGTAAGATCTCTCTCTCTCTCTCTCTCTCTCTCTCTCTCTCTCTCTCTCTCTCTCTCTCTCTCTCTCTCTCTCTCTCTCTCTCTCTCTCTCTCTCTCTCTCTCTCTCTCTCTCTCTCTCTCTCTCTCTCTCTCTCTCTCTCTCTCTCTCTCTCTCTCTCTCTCTCTCTCTCTCTAATTATGCAAGCAAGTTCAGTTTTTATCCAGCTCATGACACATTCTCATCTTGTTTTCATACTTCTATTTGTTGTTCAGTTCTGCTCTATACTAGGCTACACTACCAGGTATTTCCATTGAAATAGAGTAAATGTTGAAGTTAATTACAATGCTAGACCATCCAGTAGGGATCCCTGCTTGCTTTACATCCGGTGAGAAGGTAACTGATGATCCTGCCACAGTAACCAGGTCAGGGCAGAGTGTTTTCGTGTCTGTTTATCGTACAAAGATTGCTGATCAGTGTCGTTTGATCACAATAAAATGGTGCAAGAATCTGTTGCTCCATGGTCTATCAGTATCGCTTGAAGGTCCTGAGGGAGAGAGCCACTACACCTGCAAAGTGGAGCTGAAGCCTTTGTATTTTTGGAGGAAACAGGGCTCCAAACGGTTTGTAGAGGAGGGTAAAGCTGTGGATATCTTCTGGGACCTCAAGGCTGCAAGATTCAATGGTGAAACTGAGCCTAATTCTGAGTACTATGTTGCTGTTGTTTGCGATGAAGAGGTTGTGCTTCTTCTTGGTGATCTAAAGAAATATGCTTATAGGAAAACTGGGTGCAGGCCTGGTCTTATTGATCCCATTTTGGTTTCAAGAAAGGAACACATATTTGGCAAGAAGAAGTTCGCTACAAGAATCAAGTTCCATGAGAAAGGAAGGTTTCATGAGATCTCAATCGAGTGCAAGAATAGATGTAATTACAGTGGCAATCTTAGTAATGGGAACTCTATTAACGGGGATGACCCAGAAATGGAAATAAGGATCGATGGAGACTTGGTCATTCATGTGAAGCATCTCCAATGGAAATTTAGAGGTAACGAGTCTATTAAACTTCATAAACTAAGAGTAGAAGTATATTGGGATGTCCATGACTGGCTATTTAGTCCTGGTTTAAGGCATGCTTTGTTTATTTTTAAGCCAATAATGTCATGCACATCTCTATCACCACTATCGACGTCATCTTCATCACCACCATTATCTTCATCGACATTGACACCACTGTCCTCTCAGACAGGACCTGGTTCTGGTTCACTAGAGAGGCTTGATGCAGATGGTGAGTCATTTGATTTTTGCTTGTTTCTCTATGCTTGGAAAGCTGAATGACAGGGATATACAGAAGCACCAACGTTACATCATCATCAACACCCAAGAGAATAAGGTTGTAAAAAGTAAAGGAAAAATGGGGTGTTCATGGGATGGGCCAGCAGCATGAGGTAGTGAGGATACAGATTGGGTTAAGACAGTAACAGATGATTTGGTTAAGAAAGGAAATGGGGTCCAATACTGAGGTGGGTAGTTAGCTACAGCCGGGGTTGAGCAAGTGGCCATAAGTGGACAAGACAGATAGCATCACATAACATGGCCAACATTAATTTTTCACATCTAGAGGCATCTTCCTGTCTATCTTCTCAAAATCATCTTTTCCTCTCTCTCTTCTCTCTCACTTGATCTGGTCTTGAAATACGAGCAGTTTGCTTTCAGATTATAGTATCAATGTTATATGCTTCCTTAATTTTATATATATAGAGAAAAATATAACATGTTTTCAGTAGGCTACTGAATGTCTGTATCAGGCAAAACAAGGCAAATGCGTGTGATATTGACGAGCGTAGGGGAGGATTTAACGGGATACATATGCACGTTTCTATGCATATAAAACCTTTTCACTTGATTTGTTCACTCGTTTCTTTTGCCTTCTCACATTCACTCTCCCATTTATTTACTTATACGAACGCGTAGGTTTTTCTGTTCATAATCTTTCCGGGAAGCTAAGTTCCGGCGACACCTTGACTAGTATTCTTTCTATGGAAACTAGAGATAAACTGGCCTGGTGAATTGATAAATAAAACCTTTTCAAGGTGCCAATTCTATTATAATAGACATGTATACAGAAGATTATGTAAAAACGTATTCGAAGATCCAAGGTAAATGCGTTTTAATCCCGTATATATATTGCTCGGACTCAGATTCATATCTGACATACCATTGAATCGTTTTTCGTAGTGTTCGATGTTTGAATCTCAACCATACAAATTTGACATGGGACGTGTAATAATTGACATTCATAAGTATTCTATAAGCCAAATTCTATAAGGATTGAGTTTGTTTGAATGGCCAAATTACTAGAAAATGTTAAAATAAATTCTTTATTTTTCTTAGTGATTTTATTTTCTTATTTAATTTATGAATCCTAATTAATGATAATTAAATTTTATTAGCTATGCAACATTCAATAATTATTTCTTTTCTATAAAAATTCAGGTCCATGACTAATATAAATAAAGATATTTATTTGTTAATAAATAAATAAATAAAAATAACTAATTATTAACCATGTAGGTGGTGGTCAAGTGGTAAGAACCTGGGATCATGGGGTTTACTCCCTCTGTGGTCTCAGGTTCAAGTCCTTGGTTGCCCATATGATGGCTACTAGAGACTTACATGGTCATTAACTTCAGAGCCCGTGGGATTAGTTGTGGTGCGCGCAAGCTGACCCAAACACCCATGTTAATTAACAAAAAAAAGAAGATAACTAGTTATTTTTTGAATAAATTATTAGATTAAACATATTAAAAGATTTAATCAAAACTTTTTAGTTTAGAGTTTTAATTATATATAGTCTAAGGATTGTAATTTTTCTATAATTTAGGGATATAATTTTTAAAGCTTGAGCCCGTGGGATTAGTCGTGGTGCACGCAAGCTGACCCAAACACCCACGTTAATTAACAAAAAAAAAGAAGATAACTAGTTATTTTTTGAATAAATTATTAGATTAAACATATTAAAAGATTTAATCAAAACTTTTTAGTTTAGAGTTTTAATTATATATAGTCTAAGGATTGTAATTTTTCTATAATTTAGGGCTATAATTTTTAAAGCTTGAGAAAGTCTAACATTCTATCTTTTTTTATATGCTGTGTTAATTTATATAAAGTAGGTTAGTATGTTTGTTGAATAAAGGTATTGACAACATCATTCCATCTCGCGAGACAAATCAAGGAATGAAGTCTATTTGGAGCTCTATAAGGGCTAAATAGATAGCATAAAGAACTCAATTGCAAGGATTTTATAGGTTGTATCAATTGTTAAGCAAACAAGAAAATAGGTAGACCAAATCCTAAATATATTCTTTCAAGCCTATATAAACATTATATTTATATGCAGAGTGGTGTTTATAAAAGACAATACACTAAAGATTTAGTTTTCATTTATTCTTTTTGTAGATGCATTTTCAATTTTGATGAAATTTCTTCTTCTTATTTTATAGGGATTTTTTTAAGAAACTTTTTATAGGCATCATATCTATATAATGTATTGTTTACAAATCTAGATTCCAATAAGATGAGAGCTATAGAAAAACTAGATTGGTGTTTTTGGGTTCAAAAATTTATTTTTTAACTTATTTGACATGAAAAACCAAAGAAACCCCTAAAGATCTCAATAACCTAGATTCCAACCATTTAAGGTGGCAAGAGAATCAGGTTGGGGTGTTTTTAAGTTCAAAAGTCTGTTTTTTAACCTATTTCACATAAAAAATAAATAAACACCCTAGTAACCTCAATAAACCAATTTTTCAACTCAAAACACCTTAAATTGGTTCAAAAACACCAAATCAATTGAAAAGAATTCTCTCTCGAGCTTAATGTACTTTTTCAAGTAAGATGAAGGTAAGAAACCATCATCATAGAATTCCTCTCGTCGAATGAAATCATCTATCACCAATCTTAGCTGTTTGTATTGTTAAAATAGTGACAATTGAAACCTTTCTCTCTCTACCACTATTTTCTGATAAATTTCTTTGTCATTTCTCAAACCTAAAGATTTAAAATTGAACAAAATTAATTTTTATAGAAAAATAATATTTGTTATAAATCTAGGGTTAGCTATATATTCTCACCGTGTTTTATATTTTAATCATCTACCTTTTAATTCTACAAGTTTGAGTCAATTGCAAAACAAGTTTGAGCCAGCACATATATTTTTTGTCATTCTTATAATCGTTAAAATGTTGTCTTCTTTTGCTTAACTCGAAGAGAAACACTCTTGTAAGGCACTTTTAACCGGAAACACTCGAGCAAAATAGCTAGAAACATAAACAAATAAATGAGATCTACTCTTGAAATTTATAATAAAATTAATTAGCTCCTTATATTATAAGATGTTATTTTTTCTAGCTCAATATACATCACATAAATCAAGCAAATTATATACATAGCTCTGACAAAAAAACACTAGCTTAGAGTTGGACCCAATAAATATATGAGGAGCATCTTATAGAATGGTAAACTATGATAAACATAGCTAATTATAAGATCATGTCTAAAGATTTAATATTAATAGTTATATTTATACAGCAGAATATGGACAACAAAATACTTTCTTTTGATGACAATGAGATGATGTTGCCAATGAGACTATTTAATGCTTTCTAACATTATTGTTTAATACAAATACTAATAATAATAATAAATTAGACTTAATAAATATTTTTCTTTAGTAAAACCATCTGCCCAATAATAATAATAATAATAATAATAATAATAATAAATCTAACCTTGTCACAAGTTAAAAACATTACCATAAAATTAGTAAATACAAACGAAATAAATCTATTGGTATATTCTACAAAGTTGGAAAAACAACACTACAAATATCACTTTAACTGTTAACTCAATGATGACAATACATACGGTTCTCCAATAAATGATATGTTAAATCATACTGAGAAAATTACCGATAGAATGAAGCATGTGTTTTTCTTATTGCGCATGTTTCGTCTATAAAGCTATCGGTGAATTTAGTAATGACAGACTTATCGATATACCAAAAATTATTGACAAGCATTTTTTTTTACGGACATTTTCCATTCATAATCTTAACAGACATTTTCCATCCCTGATCCTAATGGAAAAATAATCACAGATGGACTGTTAGTGTAAAATGTCGAAAGAAATTTTCATTACTAAAATTGTTAAATCTAGTAGTGAAAATTTTACAATCTTCACTTACCAATACCAAACCACTCTACTAGGAAGAACTTGTTCTTTCTACAAGAGGCATTAGGTGTTGCTTCCATCGATGCAGATGCAGGAGCTACAAGGTTATTCTAATAGTGTTAAAAAACATTAGATTTTAAAGGATAAATACCAATATTTTTAGGGTTATAAAAGAAATAAAATGTCTTGTTTAGAATTAAAGTTTGGCATTACATATTCTTTTCTTCTCCCAAACTTTTGTACCAATAGAAATGATCACAAACACTTAATTGGATCAATAATGCATTACCTGACTTGGTTGTATTCACTTTAGGTTTTCCATTTCTCATGTCATTAGAAATAACAAAAAACTAATTGCAGTGAAAAAATTAAAATAGATAAGGCATATGTAGTTCACGGTGGATTGGAACACTAAAATTACATATTTGCCCTTAATCAAGAAAATCAATTAACTAACCTTGAAGGGTAAATGAGTATTTTCACGGGGTTCATTAGCATGACCTAATTACCGTAGTAAAAATACTATGGATAAAGTATAATTCATTATAGATTATAACAATAAAATTACATCTTTACCCTTAACCAAGAAAATCAATGAACTAGTCTTGGAGTGTAAATAAATATTTTCAAAAGATTCATTAGTCATTCTTTGATTGATCGAGGGAAGTGCAACCTTTCTGCATTTTTTTTACATAGTGAAATGATTTAATTACCCCTGAAAGAAAAAAAAATTCAATAGCCTTATAAGGGCTTTTTTAAGGATTCCATTTTTCAAAGCACATTAAAACTACCATATTACCATTAGATTAAAAATTAAAACAAGACTTAAAGGGCTTTTTTATACTTTCACATTGATTTTTTTGTTATTATTAAGTGAGCCAAAAATAGTCTTTCTTATAATCCCTACCAGTTGTATTTTTTTTCTTTTTTTTTTCCACTAAAAAACTTCACAATGCCCATTTATTTTTTTTTTATATAAGATAGTCCTTGTTCTTTTGTTGTAATTTTTTTATTTGAATAAATTATTTCAATTTAAAAATTATTTTCAATTTCATCCTCTAATTTTTTTCACATCTCAAATTTAGTCGATATTCTTTTCATTGCTTATTGTTTTTAATTAAGATGATTTTTAAAATTGATTTTTTTATGATTTCATTTCCTTTAATTTTTTTTATATCAAGTTTGAATCTCATTCTTTCAATTGTTATTTTTTTATTTTGCTTGGCAAATTTTCTTAATTGACTGTTTTTTTCGATTTCATCTTTCAATATTAATTTGATTGAAAATTGATTTTCTTAATTGAGTTTAGGTATATGATTTCATGGGTTATGAATTTAGGTGATCAACCTAAGTTTAAAATATTTGCTCAGGTTTACTTTGTTTTTCATATTATTAAATTAGGATTGTCTATGTTTTTTTAATATTATTAAATTAATTGAGTTTATTAAACTAAGTTGTCTCAATGACTGAGAATCTTGATTTTCTTTTTTTGA